GTGTTTTCACAGTTCTTGTGAAACTTGACTTTCATTAGACTCCCGTAAAAAAATTTTGTTTGGTGTTATTACAGATAACTAATTACATCTTTAACCCGTCAGTAAAAAAGACTGCAATATTCTTTAAATTATTCTGGTACGATACTTTTGTCCACTGAGAATTAAATTGGTCAATTCTGGTGGATTCCGTCTTACGGTTAATACATGAGATTTACAATCCTTTAGTTAGATGTTAAGCCACCACTCCGGTAGACGTAAATTGTATGCAGCGGAATCCCGATTTTTTAATGAGAACCTGCTGATTGTGCAAGAAACTAGTGTCCGTTGTCCGTAATAACGAAGAGTCCGCATATTAAGTGGGGTTATACTGTAAATACATTGACCTGTTGACATGACTTCTGAGGACTTCTTGGTTCTATAATACAACACCATGGTAAAAAGGGTGTGATCCGATGCCACCTTTGATCTTTAAAACTCTCCATTTTTCGAACCAACCTACATATCTAAGACCCTCCGTTGAGAGCGGCTTATGGGCATACCTTTAGCTTTGGACTAAATCTACGCTGTCTTCAGTCAAGCACGAGTTTAGAATCCTCTTAACTCAAAATATGATCCAGAATATCTCGCAGTGAAATCCCACACTGAAAGAATTCAGGCGTCGCAAAGAATTCGAACTTTTCTGCAACTGGATACATTTTGTGATCTGACACTGTTTTTTCGCGTGATATGCCAAAAGGGTGTATTATCCGCCGTATATACGACGGGCACGTCCCTGCTTGTCGCGCCGCGAGCAGATGCACGAGGTCTATGAGAAAAAATATATATTTCAAACACTCAACATTGATGGGAAAGAAATGCTTGTTATATACAAAAATAATGTATACGACATAACACCCAAGCAAGATGAAATTTCAGTGACTTTTTTTTTTCATGTAGTACACACGCGGCCGCACTTTGTACCACACCCACCGAGAAACTCGATATCATATCAAGCGATATCACGTCCTCTCCAAAGAGTCCAACAGAATAACGTCCTATGTCTTTCTAGCTAGGTAAAAGAGAATCAAAGATATGTAGGATTTATTAACCCTCAAGCCGCTTTTCCAATAAGATATGTTTTAGGGACAATTTAAACCTTTCAAAGGGATGGCGAGTCACGAATGTTGCTAGGCAACGAGTTCCAAAAGGTGGTAGATATCTATACATAAAAGAGTTCTGAGCAAACCTGAGCTAGACCATTGATAAATTTATACAATAGGGTAAGCATCCCTGAACCCAAGAAGAACTGATACTGGCAAGAATTATTGTTGCGGAGAGTAGAAGTTATATAGCGAAAAAAATCAAGTCTAAATCAGTCGAGATCCTACGTGACAAGCTTCTGAAGCTTGCAACAGATATGTCTTCTTCCATCATGTGCCTGTGCAACTATCTAAAACTAGCTTATAACGATCGATTTTCTATTAATTCTAAGCAATTAACTTCATTGGTTTTTAGGTGAGAAGGATAGTATGCATATGCGAGAAAATATGTGTTTGCAGGTGATTAAAGGTTGGCCAACTGAAAGAAACTAATTACGGTAGAAATTGAGCTGAAATCAGCTATAAGTGGAGAATTTTGCAAAAATGGAAATAACTTGATGAATGAAGTCCTAGAAGAATCCAAATCGCTAGTTAGAAAGGAACTAGGTTTAACTAAGATACTGTCAAAGTAAATTCCAGTTTATAGTTGGAAAAGTGAAATTCGGCTGAAATTATTTTCTCTGACGTGTGATAAAAGGTTGACTCTCTACAGCCCTCGGCCTGGTAGTCTCCCGACTTTTTCGCCTGCTTTTAAATGCCTGACATCAACTGGTTATTTTTAAATGCCCTAAACAACTAAAACCTCAAATATGTTATTTGTTTTTAACTCGTTAATGAAATCTTGTCACAGCAACAAAAAAACCTAATTCGGAAATAGTCACGTGACTGATGACCTCATTACCTTAGATGTGACATGGGAAGATATTTTAAGGCAAATGTTATCTTGTTGTGGTCTGACAGTCTTCTACTATATTTCTGTAAATTATGTACATATTTTTAAAATTGAATAAACATGTTAATTAGAGTAAAAAAAAATTATTAAAATTAATTTTTTCTTAGTTAGAAAAACTGGTTTCCCCTGTACAAATCTTAAAAGGTAAAGGAGAAAGTATAGTTGAGCCTGTCTAATACGGACAACGAAGGGACAGAGCGAAGTGTCCGTATTAGAGAGGGTACTACAATAGGTGTCCGTACTTATGACTCCGCTTACAGTTTTAAGTGTTCCGTAAGCTAAAATCAGGGTCACACTCGTCTTTAAAGTTCACAAGATTAACAGCAAAAAGTTCTTTCTGCAAAAGCTTCCGTGATCAAGTCAGTTGCTCGAGCCGATGCATTCCAACAAGGTTCATTAGTTTCCAGTTTCAGCGTTGTGGTGAGAACTAAGCCGACAATTTCACCTTTGGGCACATGTTTCTTTAGTTTCTTTAGTTTCTCTAGTTATTTTTACAAAAGAAACGAAGAAATTTTGCTTCAATTTTGTTAATAAGAAGACAACATAAATAAACTGTACTAAGACAGATACTAGGCTTTAAATATATCAGGATAAAAAGAGATTCAATCAAGTGTTCAGTCTTATGAAGTGTTCTATCATATCAAGGAGGCCCTTTGGGGTTTTTTTCTTCGCGGTTTTTCCCTAAGGGTATGTCCGGGAGGGAGCATGGTATTACCCGGGTCAAATTAAACTATGCATTACGTGCAGGCAGATGACAGCACACATCAACCCGTCTACAATACTGATGACTGACTGAACCGAAGGCAAATGACGCGGAAATGTTTCCTCTTTTGATTATGTTATAAAAGAAATGGTAAACGTTGCAGCTGTGCACCATATGCATCGAGTTATGGATGCACTTGTGAGGTTTCAGCCTCGTCCCCAGGGGGCTTTTCCCTTCAAAGCCAGGGAAAAGCGCCCTGCAGGGGACGAGGTTGCGGAGGCTTGCTAAGCAATCAAGAAGGTAGAGTTGCACGTAATGCATAGCTCAATTTGACCCGGGTAATTTCATGCCCCCTCCTGGGCATACCCCTAGGGAATTGCAATTTTTTTTCTTTCTTGGTGGTCTATTTTAAAAATAGTACAGAACATAGGGTACTTTTGCATACTGTATGCAGCAATAGAGAGCTTTAGATTTGAGGACAAGAACGAGTACGAGATTTAACTCAAAGTTTTAGCGCGTGTTCTAAAAAAAAGACACCCCGGAAAGCTTCCTTTTCCTTCTCCTTTTTTGGCTTTGAAGGGAAAAGCGCCCTGTGCATGGACGAGGTTGAAACCTCCCAAGTGAATCCATAACTCGATTATATTTATACATCGTGGATTCCGGATTCCAAAACTGGATCCCGGATTCTTGGTCATTGGATTCCAGGTTCCAATCGTTTGTGGGATTTCGGATTCCTTGAACTGTATTCAGGATTCCAAAGCCTAGAATTCTAGATTCCACAAGGAAAATTCTCCAAAATTCCAGAATTCGGATTCCCTCACGTGAAGCAAAAAAAAAACATACAAATTTTGCTCTGTTACAGTCATAAACTGCATCAAAAGGACCCAAAAATGCGTTTCCATTTTTGTATTATAATATTGAGTTTTCACAAGAGTCATAATATAGCTCTTGGTTTTCATAAGTGATATATACTTCGCTGGTTAGAAATAATAGCTCGTTAAAACGATGTTTATCAGACTTGTTTAGAATAAAAACTCTTTGATTCGCCCCATGTAAGCCGATCGAATCCAAGACAGCTTTGGATTCTTGATTGCACGCTGTAAATACCGGATTCCTGGAACTGGATTTCGGATTTCTTGTCAGTGGAACTTGGATTCCAGATTCCTTGAGCTGACGGATTCCAAAGCCCAGGATTCCGGACTAAAACAAAAGGCCGATCGGCCTTGTGACATTCTTGTAATCACGGGTTGATTACTTGGCATGCTTTCATTTTAACTTGGACTCCTCCCCTTCTGTGACTTGTGATATCGAGTACCCAGCAGAGTTTAGCGGACGTCTATTCCGAACACCTGTGATCAGTTACATAAAAGTAAACTTCAAGAGCTGTAGTCAACTTTTGTCTCGAACTTTATGCCTGATCATATTTAATCCATCCTTAACTTCTACAAACGAGCTTGCAGGCATCTACTATTTCCACTGTTGCACGCGCAAAAGGGATTCCTTTCCGCGAACAAGAAAGGAAAAGGAGAAGTCTGCACTCGCAGGCTAACAAACTACAGTTTCAAATTGATATTGAGAAAATTACATTTTTATGGCCTTTGGCTACATCTCATTGCTAAAAGATGAATGCCACTATAGTTCATCTGTTGTAATATCGGGGATCCTTAACGAGAAGCTGTTGGGCATTTCCCTAGGGTATTAATCTCCGCGTATTCCGGCTCTTTTCTTACAAACTTCACAGAAGCGGTCAGCGGCTTCTCGCTTGGAGACGAGGCGATCTCACTACTAGTTACCAGTCTTCCGACCAGTTCAATGGGGATTTTCTGGCATTGCTGCAAGTTGGCGTACTGTATCTGTCCCGGAAAATTCTCAATATAGTAGGTTAGTCGGTCTTTAGACTTGCCAGCGACCTTCGCTGCATTCAGGTTGGAGATTTGTGCCACAGGCTTGGTGAATTTTAAGATCATTTTCCAGCCCCCTCGGACAGAATTGATGACCTGAACGTCGAACTTCATTTTAAAGTTGTTCGGCGGCCACTGCTGTGTCAGAACTACCGCTGGGCTTTCTTGCGGCATCACCGGCGCAGGTACGCTATCAGGGAGATCAAAATCTTCGCATTTCGTGGCGTCGGGGTGAAAAACAAAAAACGCGTTTGGTGCAGCTTCGTACAATTTGGCTTTATCGCACTGAAGCTCGAGCTGCAAAAGAGATTTGCCCCTTAAATTTTTATTGTAAGGCTGTGGTGCAAGGCAAAAAGTGTCACTAGTCCGTTGTTTCTGTACATTGGAGATAATTGCCTTGACCATTCTAAAACGTTGAGTTCTAACGTTCTTGGTGAACTTGAGCGATATTCTCCAGTTATTCACGGTTTCCTGCACTTCATATTTGATGCTCATTTTGAAGCTTGAATCAGACTCGTCGTGTGGTTTCAGTTGATACATCTTAATCATTGGAGGAGGTGGAGTTGATGAAGTTGGCTGGTAAAAAAAGTTAAAAAGAAAAGAAAGAAAGAGATTATTCTTTTAGCCATTAGGTGCACTTTAAAAATCACCTCTCCCGTATATTTTCTTCGCGTATACCTCTAATTCATCGTTTGGTTATTGTTTATCCTTCATTTTTAGTTTTATCGTGATTCATTTGACTTCATATGGCCAGTTTAAGTGGCAGTAAAACGTTTCCCAAATATCTTTGTCAAGCAAAAAGCTTGCAGAACGAAACTAAGACACTAAGACTTATATTCAGTGTAATTCATCTTGTCGTCTTTTTTTATTTAAAGCTTTTCTTCCGAGAAGGCCTTGGAAAGTGACTCGTTCTCAGTAGTTATCTAAAACTGCTCGCGAGTTTGATTCGAGTCAGCCTGATAAAATTCTTAGATCCCACAAAAATAGATTCCACTTACCGGGGGTAGGGTAGGGAGGACAGGTATGACGTTTCCTCCCTGGAAAAGAACAATGATTTTGCCTGGTTTTATGCCCTTTTTGACTTTGTAAGCCACCAAAGCCATCCTCAATTCGTCTCCCCTTTTTAAACTCGGATTAAAATTCATGTTCTTTAGCGCGTACGTCTTTTTATCTGCGGATATCTTTATGACTTTTGCTCGCCACACTTCCAACTTCTTGATTGGCTGAGTGAAAATTAAGGCCATCCTCCAGCCGTCTGGGACAAAGTAGTGCATTTTGATGGTAATTGTAATCTTGAAGGCCTCAGTTCCATCTGGCAAGGTCCATGAATGTGGGTCCAGGTCAGCAGTACCACGGATAGTGGGTTCAGCGGTTAAACATTTTACTGCTGCAAACATTACCAGCGCAAAAAGCCGATACATAACGTTTCCTCCCTGTGATGAGATTTGCTGATTAGAAAAAGGAGCATGTCTCACCATGAAGCAACTGGATTATTTACAAAATTAACGTAAAATGATTTCTGATTGCAGCAAAATGCCACTCATAACCCACCCCACCCAAGTTATAGGCGCATTTACCTGTAAAGAAAGAAACTCCTTACGATTACAACCCGTCCCCCAGTAAACCAGTACATGCAAAATCTATCTTAGAAAGCACTCCTGTCGCTTTTTAGAAACCGAATCGCTTTTTCTATTCCGATTATAAACCCCCAGCTCGGATATAAGCCCTCCCTTTACTGCAAGTGCCCCTCTAAGACCCCTTATGAAGATATATATGCTCAATAATAAGCGGCAGTTCACGGCGTTCTGGTTTTACCTTCACAGAGAAGTTTTCAATTTCTGTACGGCGGTTAAATGACTGTATCAGTCACAACCTCTGTTATCTTTAACCTTTTAAAGCTTCAATTCAAATTTTGTCGGTTCTGTTGTTTGTTTTTCTTTCTGTTCAGGAGACATTACTTCATTGCATTGGATATCAGTTTTTCTCGCGAGATAATTCCACCCAGCAGGTGCAATAACATAAAATTTTATTTCATTCAACCAGACTCCTGCGTTACTAAGTCCCTATTTACTTTTTGTCATGTTTCAAAAGACTCACCTCTCGATTAAGCAAACTTCGTTAGTCTTCAATTATTAAATCTATTAGTTCTATTCAATTTAACTTTCAAGCAGAAACAATGTTATATATATTAGAATTTGACGTCTTGCCTTTAAGTTTGCTCTGGATACTAACTGAAAATGTCCTTGATACAAATCGTCTTTCTTATGTTAATCGTGAAAAGTA